TTCTCTTTTTTTCTTTTTCTTTTTCGTCTTCTCGCCTGACCCTCGCCTCCCCTCCTCTCTGGGTCGGGCCTTTGTCCCTTTTAATTTTTGTGAGGTCTCCATCCAGAACAGGTTGTGTCAAGGGCCAGACCCTGGCTGGGGTTAGAGTTGAGGGCGTGGCTTGGAAGATCCTGACCCACAACTTTATTTTTTTTTGAGACGGAGTTTCACTGTGTTGCCCAGGCTAGCTTGAATTCCTGGACTCAAGTGATCCTCCCACCTCAGTGTCCGGAACAGTATGACCCACGGCTTTTAGTGGGCAGGCACGTCACAGAACGTCGTGTGCTGTGCTTGCAATGTCTGTAAGTAAATCTGTCAACTCCTCCCCACTGGCCTCGGTTCCTCAACGGAGACAGGCTTATCCCAACCCCACCATCGTGGGGAGATTGCAAAGGCGTTTTCCTCGCACGGTTTCCTCGCTTGCCCCGTCACGGTGCCAGTTACCCCGACTTGGAGAAAAGGGGCCTAGCAGTGAGCAGACGCCCACGCCTACGGCTTGGTCCGCGGCTGCTCTAGCTGAGTGCCAAACACCTGCTCACCAGTACGCCACTTCGTTGCGTCCCTCGTGAGGCCCCAGCTGTTCCGTTGGTCCTGGACTTCATCCTTACCCCGCGTCGCCTACCAGGTAGCAGACTTTAGAAGAGGGATGCCATTTCATCTCCAACACCAAGGAGGCATTGCTAGGTCTTCTCATTCTGCTCCTTCTACCTGCTCGCACTGTGAGGATAATAACCCTATAAATAGCCCCACATGCAAAGTCTGAGTTGTGGAATCAAATCCTGGTTACTTAACTTCTGAATGCCTCAGTTTCTTTATATGCAAAGTGAGGAAATCATAGTAAACACCAACCTCAAAATAATGAAATATTACTATGAAGTTTTTAGAACAACGCTCGGAACATGGTAAATGTTAGCTGTTTTTTAGTGTGTGAACCAGATTTTTGAGTGACATCCTCGTGTTTTTAAGACAACAACATGGCTGGGCCTATTTTTCCACTGTTGAGGTATCTGGAAAAGCCTTCTTTTTTTTTTTTTTTTTGCCATCTCAGGTCCTCGAATGTGTTTATCTGTCTTCAACTTATCATGGGCAATTGAGCTAATTCTGCAGTACAAAATCTACTAAACCCAAAAGGGACTGGCCAAGGACAGCTGAAGGTTGCAGGAGGCTCCCAGGGCATGGGATACCCTCTGTAGGCAGGATATGTGGCCATTCCTGGCTGGGTTTCCTGCACCCAGCACAGTTTGTTTTCCAAAGAACCTTCCAGCCAAGGCAAGCCTGATTTCTGTCTCCTTTGCTGCCCCAATGACCTATGCTGGGCAGTAAGACTTAGGAAGGGTTTGAGGACCCACACCCTTTATTTTTCTGTTCCGTAAGCCTAGGGTCATCAAAGTAGGCTTTCAGCATCTCCCCCGTGAAACCCATATCGGCCCGTCCAACTCACCAGAGCCCTGCAAGACCAAGACACCTTAGGGAGAAGGGATTGATAATTACCTGTATTCCTTGTTCTCTGTTCCCTCCTCTACTTCTACCAGAGAACCCACCCCAGCATGTTTTGATGTTTAGGGCCAGTGTCAGGAAGGGAAGAAATCTAATGGCAGACCCTCTAAACCCAGGTGACATCACCCAAATTGGGTCCTCCTAGTATCTCCAGCTCGTGCTGTGTCTGATTCACGGACAGAGATCCTTTCCCCCCTTTCATCAACATGTTTTACACTTGAGTTGACTCTTTCTTTCTCCAAGTGGATTTTTTTAAAAAAAAAATAAAGAGTACTTGGCACATGTAAGAACAAAGCATTATTGTTGACACCACTACTTACTGATTTCTTAGTAAGGGCTAAGGACTTTGTGCGCATAATTCTACTGCTTCCTTACAGCAACCCTAAGGGAAAGAGAGATGTCCATTACTTTCATTTTTCAGAAAGTAATCAGAGTATAACTCTTCCAGAGCATGCAGACAGTAATTGGAAAGTCGGGGATTCAAACCCAAATTCTCTGCCTCCAAAGCCCATTGCGCTTGTGCCAAGCAGGAAAGGGGGTCAAATCACCACATTACACACAAACCAGGCACTGGCCTTTATGTTTTCTCCATCAAGATGTCTTCTGATTCTCTGAGCCTCCACGCTGTCAGCCCCGTAAAACACAATTCGCTTAGCTAGCCGACCTCTTACTGGACACACCTTGTGTTTCCTTCTCTCACACCCCACTGCAACCCACGGGGTGACCACTCAGCTTCTGCTGCCAAGTCATGGTGCAAGGGCATGCTAAATATATCTTAGACTCAGTAATTGGTAAATTACCCTCATGGAAATGTTGGAAGTGGGAAGGGAGGTATTAGCCTCATTCTGCAGATGAGGAGAGAGCTCCACCAAGTCAGTGAACTGGGACTAGAGGTCTGGGTCATTCCAGAACCTATTCTATGATACAGTCTTGTGAAAGATACACAAGTGTGCATTATGATAAGTGCCACACAAATATAAGGTGCTAGTAGGCAGGGAAGAGTGAAGCTCAGCAGACTGGCCTTCAGTGGGGCCACCTTGCCAAAGTGAAGACGTGTCAGCCGGCCCACCTCCATGAACCCCAGTGATGAGCAGAGACAACTTGGGATTCCCTGTCACTTGTCTCCTTACCCTGAGAGAGTAGTGGGAGACTCCCAGATTCTACACGCTGCCTACCTCCTGCCACCAGAAGGCGTAGAAAAGCCAGAAGAGAGGCCTCCCTAGGGGTCGACTCCTGAACTTTGCCAGGTGCCTCCTGCTTCCTGATTTCCAAACTCTTTGCTGCTTAGAGATCTTTCCTGGCCTCTGGCTTCCTGCCTTCACCTTGATCCCGCTATAAAGGGATCTGGAAACCAAGTTGCTCTCAGTTTTTACCAGAAATGCTGGGCCCTGGGCAATCTCTGCCATCCAGACTGGCCTTAGGTATCCATGCAGTGATGTCCACTAGAGTCGATTGTTTTAAATTAATTCCACTTCTGTTTTGTTCCTTTCTTAAGAAACACAAGCAGTTCTTTGATTCTGGCTACCGTTGCTTCTTTATGTGATAAAATGATGAACAGAAATGTGTGAACAACTAATATGACTTTCTGGTTGGATTCCCCCCATCTGTCAGTGGCGTCCCCTTCTTGGCAGCTAATGAGCAATTGTATAATTTCTGTCTTTGGGTTGCGTTTTATCTAGACATTCGAATGTTGAAACATACCAATTTGCTTCAGAAGGTAAATGTACTTTAGGCCTCTAAGAGCATTGCTGCTGCCTTTGGGATTGATCCACTCTGTGAAGATTTGTATCACTGTTCCAAATGCCCGTGAACATCCGGTGCGTGTTCCCTGTGAGCATGCGATGCTGCCTCTCGTGAGAAAGTCATTTCAGCTGGGAAAGTGGTGATTACCTACAGCACCACCATCTCTTTATAAAGGCAGAAGTAGTACATTCAGCTGGTATTTCTCAGTTGCTGACATTTTGCCAGCAATATTTAGCAGGTCTCACTCAGTACCTACCCCATGGCCAAGCTGGCACCTTTCCTTAAAGCAGGTGAAGATCACCAGAGAGCCTGGTTGGTGTTTGAGGTTGCTGCCGTTGGAAATAGAAGGCAACCCCCACCAGCTCTGGCCTAGGCTCCCCCCAGGGTGGGATAGGTCTGTCCAATTAGAAGAGAATAGGGCAAGGAAGAGAGCATGGGGGGGGGGGCCTTGCATCCTTTAGGGCTCCTTTCGCTGGTCACCACAGGAAACATCTTGCATGCCTGCCATCCTCACTGACCCCTGCAACTCAGTGGTGCCAGTTCCCTTCCCCAAGTAGAATGTTGAGCTTTTTGTTCTTTCCACGCTGATGAATTCTGAAGCCAGGAGAGCACAGTTTGATAATCCCCTGTAGCCCATGTTAAATACCAGGGAATACAACTGGACTCTGTCCCAGTCTTGAGTGGCCTCCAAGAGCATCTCAGAACATCTTATAAAAGGCACTTATTTATTGGCAGAGGGTTCTCAGACCCAAGATGACTTGAAAGCTAGTGGGTCCAGGAAAGACACATCCTTGCCCCTTCCCCATCCCAGGTGACTCCTTGAAGCCATCCAGGGACCATGAGAAATGCTAACAGTGGCACTAGATGTGGACCAGTCCCTGGTGACCGTAGGGAGGAGGGGAGCCAGGAAGCTGTCCTATCCCATGTCTGCTTGGTTTCAGCATCACTCTTCCCATCCTCACTCCTCACTGCGGGCTCCATCCCATGCCCTATTTCCTTAAAGGGCCCAAATCCCACCTGCTACAACCACATCTCCATACTTGAACCGTTTTTATTTTTAAAATCTTGCTGCACTTCTACAAGGTAAATGTGTCCTTTACAAGTGGGCAGGGTTTCATGGTGTAATAGCTTTCTGCTTCTGACCAGCATGGGTGACCATTTGGTAGGGAAAAAGCGAGAGTGAGCGTGTGACAGCCCTCATACCCCCGCCCCGCTGTGCACATAAGTGATCGAGACAAATGCTGGCCGGGAGAGTATGTTTTCTCCCTGCACGAATGTCCGTGTCTCCCTTAATATTAGAACGCGAGACCTTCTTAGTCAGTGAAGCCCTTGACTAAGGCCCACAGTACAGCACCTGCTAGACCAGAGCAACTCGCCTCCTCCTAAGTTCACGTAATTTAGAAATGAGCAGATGGCTACTTCTACCAATTTCTCTCTCCCTCTGCCTCCCCATTCCCCACACCGCACCAGCATCAACTCTTCAGCTGCTTTCTGTATTCACCTGTGTGCTGGGGAGGGTATGCGTTTCACCCACATAAAAAAAGAAGAATCACTTTAACTAGAGACCAACTCATTTGTAGTAATGTTATAGCACAATCAAAACCCCACCCCAAGACCCTGACCATGGAAGGAGGCCCCTTGCAGAAAGACAACCTTTGTGTCCAAAGGAAGGTAGATTTTTTTTTTTTGACACTAATATCTGTATGTTTCTGTCCCTGCAGCCTTAGGAAAATCCAAAGGTACGGTATCCTCTGGTAGCTATGAGGTCATTTCAGTCTCGTAAACTAAGCCAGCTATGCGTCGTAGTGAGCTCCATGAGAGGGTGAATGCGCCGTGTTTGGTTGCTTGGCCAACTTATTTGAAGCTATGTGCCCATCATGAAAATAGCATCCGAGCCCAGAGGGACCATAGGGTTAGCAGCCCCTTCCCTGCTGTGTAGACAAGAGGGAGTGGCCTGCAGAGATGTGACTTGGCCGGAGTTCCTGGCAGCAGTGGACCTGGGGCTAGATAGACACCACCTCACAAGGGTGTATGTTGAGATGTCTCCTGCTGGTCAGTTCCAAGTTCTAGTTCAATGTGCCCCCTTTCCTGCCCTGCACTGGGGAGGAGTGAGCGTCCCCCCTCCCAGTTAGGCCAGTTCTGGAATGAGGCAGGCTTGGATTCTCCTCCCAGGGAGCTTGTCGGGCCATCATCCTAAGGCCAGCTGGCTTTGGCAGAGGGTTGACCTGCAGCTTGTGGACGCCAGCGGGCTGCGACTGTGCCCTGCTCCCTGGCGGGTGACAGGACTGCCCTGGCCACGCCTCCGCTGCCCGGGTGGTCTCCTGCGCCTGAGCACAGCCCCAGCGCCTCGCTTCCCACCGGGGTGCTAAGCTGCGCTGCTGCCTCCTCATTCGGACTCGCTTGAATGTTAACGCTTCGTGGGGTGGGGGGAGCCTCGCCCGTGTCGCCTGTCACGCGTGGGTAAGCAGGTGTCTTTTGTCCCTCGCCAGCATGGGTGTGAGGGTCATGGACACCTCTTGGGTGGCTCGAAGAGGCTCCTCAGCCGGTCGGAAAGCGTCCTGCGCCCCGCCCTCCATGCAGCCGCCCGCGCCGCCCGCAGAGCTGGCCGCGCCCCTGCAGTCGCTGCCGTCGCCGCTGCCGGAGCAGCCCCTGGACAGCCCCGCGCCGCCCGCGCTCTCCCCGTCCGGCGTGGGCCTGCAGCCCGGGCCCGAGCGCACCAGGTAAGCGGCCGCTGCGTCCGGCGGGGCTGGGGGTGTCTGGGCTTGCTGCGCTCAGGCCTCCGGGATTGGGTCACTTCCCACCCCTCAATCTCAGCATTCACGTTGGGCTTTCTGCATCGCGCTGGCACGGAGTAAGGACCCCCCGCGGCTCCCTGAGTTCCCACATAAGTCCAGGCTTCGCAAGAATAGCAACCCCAAGCAAACACACAGCGGGCAGCTTGCTAAAGCCGGGAGGAATCCCCAACGCTATTTCTCCTTCCTCTCTGCCTTTATAATTGCAGTGGTCCCCCGTTATCCGTTCCAAGACCCCGGGGCATGCCTGAAACCTCCAATAGTACCCAACTCTACCTATACCCTGTTTTTTCCCATATCTACATACCTATGATCGAGTTTAATTTATAAATTAGGCAAAGTAAGAGCTTAGCAATAACTAAAAATAAATTAGAACAGTTATAACACTGTATTGTAATAAAAGTTATACAAATGTGGTCTTTCTCTCAAAATATCTTTTTGTACTGTCCTCTGTTTTATAGACCGCAGTTGACTGTAAGTAACTGAAATGGCAGAAAGTGCAACCACCGATAAGGGGGGCCACTGTGCACTATTTTGAAATTTAGAATTTCAGCGTTTCTCTGCTTTCTCCTCTTTAGAGTTACAGCAGCCATTTCTGCTGCTAAAATGGGAAGGAGCGAAGGCCAAGTAGCCACTCTGGGCCTGGGGACCTTTGCACCTGCTGCGTGGGTGCATTTCCATTCTTTCAGGGGAAGGAGAGAGAGAGAGAGAAGTCCATTCCATGGCTAGCTTTGGGAACGTTAACTGAAAACTTTCTGTGACCAAAGATAAAACATACAGTCACTGCCCTGAAGGAGTTGACATTTCAGTGAGCAAACAGGCACTGACAAGTAATTGCAGCACTCAGTACCCAGCCCTGTGTTGAAAGGGTCCTGATTGGAGGACGGGGATTCTGGAATTGGGAACAGCACCAGGAAACAACTTTGCTGTTTGTTTGTTTCTATTTACTCTCAAACAGCAATTCAGAAAACTAGAAAAGCTACTTGATTGAAATCAGATGCTGCTGTGCCTTCTGTCAGGGGCGTGGCATTCCTGCATGGCCACTGCCGGGAACGTGTTAGAGACTTTGGGAAGCTGAACCTTCTAACCCACGTCTTTCAGCAAACACACACGCATTCTCGTACGCCCTCATGCACCGTCACGACAAACACACACACACGAATGCCCACGCCAACCTTCTAAATAGGAGGACAGCAGGCTTTTTTAAAATTTATTTAATGAGTAGAAGGTATTTTCTCTGTGAAATTGGGAAATGACAAAGGGAAAAGTGGACAGTATTAGAGCAGAAGCAGAGCCCGCGGATGGTGGGCCAGCATGGCTGACGAGGAGGAAAAGGACACACAGGAGACTGGCTGGGATGGTTCCCTTTTAGGACACTCATCGGCTTCATCCTGATTTTCCATCTTATAAAGGACACTGGGTGCCATATGGCATTTGGCATATAAATGACATTTCTAAAAAATGCCCCTTGAAGATGGATTCCCCCAGGCTCTGAAGGCGTTCCAGGAATGTTACGGATGGGTGGTCTTGCAGAGCCACCCGTGGGCAGGGAACGCCACCCACTGGTTCAGATTATTGAGAAGGTCAGTCACGTTGCTCTACAGCCGTATGTCTTTCCTTCCCTTTCACCTGGGTTGACTGGCTTTGTAGCCTTTTTGGGGTGTAAGTGTTCTTATTTGTTTTGCACCACTTTTTCTCTCTCCACGTGGATTTTTCCCAATACAAACGGGTGTTCCATTGTTTTTGTTTGTTTTTTTCTGTTTCCTGGACATTTGCAGCACAGATGATGTTTGCTCCAGTGGCCGGATTCCTGTTACGGCTCCCCCTCCCCTGAGGATGGCAGGCCCTTCCTTCCCTCTGACTTGCCCACCTTCCTCCCTCTACCCCAGGCCCCACCTTCAGCTCCCTCCCTGCCAGGCCTGGCGGTCCAGCCAGGCTCTGCCTCCGCATCCTGCTCAACTGCTTAGCATTAACGCGATCTCAAACTCTGCTTCCTGCTTCTTGGCACCCAGCTCACTCACTGAGCCATGCGGCCCCAGAACTAACCTTTCCTCACACGTGCCTTAACTGTGCCTCCTCCATCTAGCACTCCCAATAACCACCCCACACCCCACCTGTCCCCATTGGGTCAGCTGCACCTATGCTGGCGAGAGAGGACCAGGCTAAGTAGGTAAATACTCTTTTCTGTGCTGGGGAAGGTGTTGCAGGTGGGAGGGCACAGAAGAGCTCAGTCCTAGATTCCCCAGATGGATGTCTTGTCTGTCCGAAGGAAGGAAGACAACTGTGTCCCCCCCAGAAGAAGCAGTGTTCTGATTTGCTTGTTTCATGTTTTCTGTGATCGTTTGACCTTCCTTGGTGGTGGCAGAGCTGGATGGGAAGGTAGGCAGGTATTAGGCATGAATGCCAGGGTGCCTGGGTGCCTTGAGCCTGAGGAGGAACAAAACACAAGTCTTTGTCCAGCAGAGTGAGGCAAGGGTTTTCTGTTTTTGTTTTCATTTTTCATTAACAGAATAGAGAAAGGAATTGTTGCTCTTCTGATTCCTCTGGGTAAAGCGGCTTTTTTCCCTTGGGAAATTGCCTAGGTGTAGTATAAAACTTGCCCCGAGAGGGAAAGAATATCCTATCGCCTGGAGCGTAGTCTTTCCTTTATTCCTCCCCACAGGGCACTCGACCTATGCTTTTATTTTATTATTATTATTATCATTATTATTATTTTTACTTTAAAGACGGGGTCTTGCTCTTGCTCAGGCTGGTCTCGAACTCCTGAGCTCAAGTGACCCTCCCGCCTCCACCTCCCAGAGTGATAGGATCACAGGCGTGAGCCACCGCGCCGGGCCTCAACCTGTGCTCTGGTGCTATGCGCTGGTGCTGTGTGCTGGTCCAGCCCAGTTCCCTGCTCCCACTCTTTCACCTCGGTGGGCTTGAGGGGTATATCCCTATTGGTGTTTCCTCCAAATTAATTTTTGGAGTTTCTAGATAAATGTAGGGAAGAAATAGGCCATGAATGCTCTTGTGGGGGAAGAAACAGCCATTGCAGAGGATTTAGGTTCCCGGATTCTCCAGCCCCACCTAAGGGCATCGGAGTCCAGGTAGGTTCTTGTGAGCATGACACACAGCTCCCAATTCCGGAGCACCTGCCTGACCCACTAGTGGCTACCTGAGAACACCGTGGGGGAGCAATGGAGACAGTAACATCTGCCCTGGACGGTGTGTTGGCGGTGGTAGAGAGTGACAATCTGCCACGTATGTGCCGTCCCTGATCCATTGAGCCGAGTGGAGTCGGGTGTCTTCTAACATGTACTTTATCCTTTGGAGAAGGCCCGAGAAAGAGCCTAGCGGTAAGGATGAATCCTGTTTGGGACCTGGTGGCCTAGGGTGTCCCTTTGCCCATTCAAGGCACTCCAGAGGCCAGAGTCCTCACTGCCATTGACCCTCACCCCTCTCTGAGCCTGGGACGGGGACTGAACTGGCCCACGTTCAGGGCACAGCCTGGGCCTGTGCCAGCCACACTATCCGCTGGGCCGGTTACTGTGTTTGAAGATGGGTCCCAGGATCCCTCCCCCGTGTGGGCGTATGCGGGAGGCTAAAGGCCAACAGCCGAGAGCTGGAGAGCTGTGGCCAGCGGCTTGGCAGCCTGTGCCCATCACAAGAGCCCTCCTTGGGCACCCCGACCTAACCAGTCCTCTTGGCTCTGGTAGGCTGTGGCTGTAGAAGGGAGAAGAAAACTTGGTGTTCCAGTTTCAGAATGTTCTAGAATTCCCATGTCGATGACAGGATAGGATACAGTGGGGATGTCCAGGGACCCTGCCCTCTCATTATTCATGGTCTCCTTGAGGACAGAGGGCAGAGGCGTGAAGGGGACACTGACAGTGAGCACCAGGTGCCACAGAGATGAGAGTGGAACCGAGGCCAACAGAGCTCCAAGAAGGGACAGTCACGTCATGAGGCACCTTCAAAGGCTTCAGGAAGGGACCGAAACAGACAAGGGCTGGGACAGACCCAGACGAGGCCGAGAAAACACATGGGATTGTGGTCAGCAAGGCCGATGCTGAAGGTAACTGAGTTCCGGGGCTCTCTTTTGTCCCGTGTGCTTGTATTTCAGCACGTCTAAAAGCAAGGAACTCTCTCCAGGGTCTGGGCAGAAAGGAAGTCCAGGCTCCAGCCAGGGGACAGCCGGTGCAGGGACACAGCCAGGGGCACAGCCAGGTGCCAGCCCCAGCCAGCCGCCCGCAGACCAGAGCCCTCACACCCTTCGGAAAGGTACGTCACCACCCCCTTCCCCTGGCGCTCGGGACAAAAGGCTCCATCCCCAAAGGCTCAATTCCCTCGATTACCAGAGATACTGAGACACCGTGTGGTTTAGAGAATAATCTTGATCCGGGCGTTAGAGCTTTTGGATGTTAACTGACCCCGAGAGAGGGATCATTTCCCGTTATTCTTCAGTTTACTCATTTGAAATGTGGGCTTGTTAGGGGCATATATAGGACTGTGCTTCCTGTACACCAAATGATTCCACCAGCGCAGAAATCGTGGTCCAGGATGACAGGTGTCTTCCACGGACTTGCCAGGTCCTGCCTCTGTCATTCGAAAAGCTGTGTGGGGCCGTCCATGGGAGCCCCTGCCGCCAGGGCCAGCCTTGCGCAGCTGCCCAGCCCCGGATCGCATGCACAAGGTGACAGTTCCGGATTGTCCCTGTGTGAGTCCTGATGTTCAGTACTTCTCTCTGGGAAGGTCTGACAGCTGCTACTCTGACCCATAGCTGCCCAGCCCAGAATTCTGCCTCCAGAACACATTGTCAAAGGCCCACTTATTCTCTCTTCAGAGAGCCACTCCCTAAAGCTAAAGACACACTCCGTGCTGACGTTTCATAAATGGGGAGCTATGCTGAGCGTACTTATCTGAACCTTTTTGGTCTGTTTTTACCTGTGTCATCTCTTTGCAAAGTCTTTCACTTGTCTCAAATAGTATGTCATTTAATGTGTTCTGTATTCAGGCCATTCATACTTTCAGGAGTGGCTTTAACTCCAGGATTTGCCACATGGGGCCGGGGTTAGTGCATCCACACATACCTCCATGGCAGGTCCCTTTCCAGCCTCCTAGTTCCAGACCACAGTGGCAATTCGTCTCCTCACCTGCCCTCACCCACACCTCTGTTCCACCGCCGTTCATTCCTTACACACACTGCAAACAGTTACTGAGCCCTACTATGTGCAGAGCTCTGTGCTTTCCAGAAAGGTAAATGCCGCAATAAGGCAAAGGCGGTGCTACTGTGCTGGGGGTGTTCAGGGCACTGTGGGGACACAGGGGGTGCCCTTTCCAGACTCAAGACTTGGGTGGCCCAGAAGAAACTTCATCTAGAAGGTTGAATGGGAGTCGGGCCAAAGTGGCGGTGGTGGGATTTCAGCCCTCCAGGGCTTCCCTCCAGCAACATTGCAGTCTAGATGCCATATTCTTTGGCACACCTTGGTTTATGAGTTCTTCAACCTTGCTTCAGCCCTGCAAGGCAGGGGCTATGGCTAAGCCATTGTTTTGTCCAGCGGGAGGTCCAGGGCTCGTGTCGCAGCCAGCCAGCTTCTTTGTGCTAGCGACAGGTTGAGCCTTTCGGTTTTTGCATCACATTGGACCTATGCAGGGAATGTAGCCCCAAGTGACCCGGGTCCCTTTCCCAAGTGACCTTCAGTAGTTCAGAGACATTTTTTGGAAGGTGTAACTTTCTTCCCCACTCTCTCCCCATTCATGGCCCACAAACGGCACACTTAGCTGTTTTTTTTTAACAACTCAGTCTTTTGACAGTGTGCCTACAATTTAACATCATGGCATAGTCCTGTCACCACCTGGAAGTAGAAAGGGTAATGTCACTGCATCCTCTGTTCCAGCTCCTTCCTGAGCAGGCATGTTCAGGCATCAATACCAAGGGTCTCCTGCAGCTCCTATAAGTCATGATCATATGGTGCTTTACATACATGATCCTCCTCGGTCGGACCTGGCCTCACCGACTCACTCTTCCCCAGAGCGTAGCCATGATACCTTTACCACGGGGAAAACAGCCCATGCTTGTGGATGGGAAATGTGCTCTCCAGTTTGGCTGGGTCTGTGTGTGTAGATCAGGGCAGGAAGCCAGAAAAGAGGAGAACAAATTAGTTAACAGATGGAAAGGCAAGAAGACTTGCAGTTCTGGGTTAATTTTTGAAAATTGGCCGCTCTCAGCATGGCAAGTGGTGGGGGGCAGGGAGGCGTAGGTGGATGGGGAAGGGTAGGGGATGGTGACAACTTGGCTCACTGAGGGTGTGTGAACAGGCCACACGGATGGGCTTCATTTAACAATGTTGTGTTTTGTTGGTGTGTTTTGTCTTTCAGTTTCAAAGAAGTTGGCACCAATTCCACCCAAGGCCCCCTTTGGCCAGCCGGGGGCTGTGGCTGAGCAGTGCACGGGCCAGCCGTCCCCAGTCAGCCTGTCTCCCACCCCCCCAAGCACCCCGTCGCCCTACGGACTGAGCTACCCCCAGGGGTACTCCTTGGCCTCGGGCCAGCTGTCCCCGGCCGCGGCCCCTCCCCTGGCCTCTCCCTCTGTCTTTACAAGCACTTTGACCAAATCTCGGCCCACTCCTAAGCCCCGACAGAGACCTACCCTGCCGCCTCCTCAGCCTCCCACTGTCAACCTCTCCGCCTCTAGTCCCCAGTCCGCGGAGTCCCCCCTGCTGGACGGCGTGTCCCCTGGGGAAAGCATGTCTACAGGTAACCAAGCCACGGGCTGCCTCATAATTTTCTGTGAACCTTAGCGAAATGTGCCTGGTTGGGAGGGGATCGTCAGCGTCACTGCCACTGAACAAATCCCTGTGTGCCATGAGATGGTTGTGCTGGCGACATGGGGGTTCAGGAGAGGATCTCAGGAGCCCACCGAGGGAAAGCAGCCCTGGAGTGAAGTGGTCCCGCAGAGGGGCTTCTTAAGCGATTTCTCCCAGGCTGAGCCCGCCAGCCCAGGACTCTATTTCTGCTCTTCATGTTTGGGCTTGAGCTCCCAGAGTCCTTTGGAGTAGACCTTTGGGAGAGGCTGGAAGCTGGTTATGATAACAGAACAGCATCAAAAAACTCAGGCGAGATAGTCCCTGGATAGAGCCCGAGGAACTGACAGGTACAAATGCTTATCTGGAGAACAGGGGCTAGGAACCAAAGAGATTTTTTCCCATTAGTAACATCAGCCTTGCTAGAAAAATATATTTCTAGATATATAGAGAGGGGTCAATCTCAGAAAAGATGCACGTCCCTACCCCAAACTACCCCCTCTCCCACCTATTCTTTGAAGAGCTAATTGGGCAAACCCTCAACTACTTAATTTAGTTTTGATTTAAATTTAAAAACAAAGGCGGAGCTATCTTCCCGCAGAAAACCACACAGGCATGAAAGCACAGACGCACACCACATTTAGCCAAAACCATTCACTGGTTGGAAGAAACGGGATGTTTTTGAAACGTCTCCCCAGACACTTCAAACCACTTAAGATTATAAAGTCGGGGCATATTTGTGGTGGCTGCTGAAGTCATGTGAGCATTTTTCTTGTTCGCGGAGACAGGCGAAGTGTTGGGCTGTGTCTTGGAATAGCGCCAGCCCATTTCACTGCACGGCACAGAGCCTGAGCATATGTCTGTTCAGCGTGGTCCCAAGTAGCAGAAGGTGAGGCAGCTTGGGTTGGAATAAACACACACACGCACACCCCCACACAGACACACACTTTCAAAAAACAATGCTGTCCCTGGGTCCTAGGGTGCACTGGGACTTCTCACGGATATTGCACTTTTTTCCGCATGTCCTTCTCCAAAAGAATGGTTTCTTTTTCCTGTGGTTAGACGGGAGCAGCGAGCCTGTGGGGTTCCGCTCCTGGCTGCCTATGAAAGGCTAGTCAAGTTTGCAAGTGTTTGCAATGGGTCACATTTAAATATTATGGGGAAGAGCCATCTGGTGATTTGGCTTCTTTGTATTTGGTTGTGATTAATGTTGAATGTACAACTGCTGTCATCTACTCCGAGGCTTATTAAAAATTAAGGAAATTCCTCTCCGAAAAATGGCAGTGAGCATCCTCCCCTAACCCCCAGTTCTTAGTGGTGACTCGTGTTTCCTGCAGGGCCGTGGTGGGAGGCACAGGCCTGGAGGAGGGAACCTGCCTGAGCGCTCATGGTCACCCGAGTCCGCTCTCGGGGCTGCTTCTCCCATCCAGCCGCCCCCAGGAAGGGACACAGCACAGTGTCCGCACTGTAAGCAATAGAACAAGCAGGGGACAGCACTCAGGAGAGGCAAGAAAGAGGGGAATGAAAGGAGAAATTTGGGAGCAGAGTGGGCAACAGAAGGTATAGAGCACAGCACCCCCAGGGCTCTGCGAGAAATGCAATGACCGGCCTCTCATCTCGCAGGTCTAAGAACACGGACCTGTAGAATTAATAATGCCCCTTGCCCTCTGCAGACGCTGTTTTGTTTTAATGTCCTTTGGCAGCAGCCTGTTGTCTTGTCCCATCCGTACAGGCCTGAGCCAGTGTAGACTCGACTCCATAATGGTTTGGTGTGGCCCCACCTGGGACTGTGATACTGGCATAGTTTTTTTGTGACGTTCTTGTTTTGTCCTGTTGATGCCTTTCTCCGAATCCTGTCATTGTGTTCTTGCAGCTGTGTGACATGAGTGGCGCAGTTTTGGATACGTGTGAGGGGGATTTGCTGGGTAAGCTGGCCCCGGCCTCGCCCCTCCGCCCCGTAGCCAGGCCAGCCGCCGCCCGCTCCTCTCTCGGCTCCTGTCTCTGCATGTGGCTCGGCCCGTCCGCATGGCTGCTTCACCCTCCAGCCTCCCCGACCTCAGCGAGGAGGAGCCGATCCGTGAGCTCACTTGGCTTTGAGGGATCACTGGCCTTTCTCTGTCTTTGCACACGAGGAGCTGGGGAGAGAGCAGCCAGCAGCTTAGCTGTCCTGTGCCCCACCTTCTCTTTCACTAGCGTCGCTCCGTGCAGTTCCTCCTCTCTCCTCAGGTGTAGGATGTGGAGGGTAGCAGATCTGATTCTTCGTGTAACGGATCTGGGGGAGTCTTTTGTGCCCAGTGCCCTGGGGACGTTCACCTGCAACACCTTTGCTCAGGAAGGGGTCCCCAGGGGAGGTCATGCCTGGTGCAGCCCAGCACAGGGTCCACCCCCATGGCCTGGACCCCATTTCTTGCGGCCATGAGTTTGCACCAGCAGGTCTCCACTTCCAGACGTAGATTCTAACATCCACCTTCCTCTGTGCCGGGTTGATCGCGCTGGCAAATCCCGAAGAATCCGTAGTGTTAGAACTCAGCCAGCTCCCCTCTCCCCACCCGGCTGGGCTGGCTGCCAGATCCCTTCTATCCAGTGCAACAAAGTATCTTGGGAGCGTTTGTATCAGTATCCGCTTGGTCTCCTCCTACAGAGAGTAGCTGCTCAAAACTAAAGCCAAGGCAAGAACGTGAGAGAAGCCGGAAGGAATTAGGTGTATCTGCCTCAGTAAGGAGGCGTGGCCGCAGTAAACTGGGTTTTTCCCCCCCCCATTTTGGTCCATGATCCTGCAGAGCCTCAGGCAGGTCTCCTGGCAGAGAGGCCTGGAAACCAGAAGTCACAGCTTCCCCGCCCCCAGGAGTGCTGGTGAGGGCTTCGCCCCAAACCCTGTTCTCTTGCTAAGTGGCTCTTCTCCCTCAGGCGTCTCTTTAAGGGAACGCAAGGATAAGGGTACGGCAGCTCACATCCAGGGCCTGTCTCGGGCATGTCTAAACTCATCACCGTGACTATTCCCATCTGACTGCTGAGGTGCAGGGAAGGTCAGAAACTCGTCCAAGGTCACACATCTACTGCGTGACGGATTTGAGATTTTGAATCCAAGCAGTGGAGATTGTGCTTTCCTGACAGTGAACCTCGCACAGCAGGCCAGCCGCAGGCCAGCACAGCCTCACGCCTGTGCATCGGGGAGAGGGGCCAGGCAGCGAGAGGAGGGCAGAGGCAGGCCCGGGGCCCACGGACACCCTGGGAAGCAGAAGGGCCACCTGCTGCAGGAGGAGCAGGTGGCACTGGCTGAACCAAGCGAGCCTCACCCCCAGCCCCCACCAGATCGCTCCTCCTACATCGGGCAGTGAAACAAAGACAGGCTGGGTGACATTTAGAGGACTATCTGTGGGGTGGGAGTGGGGTGAGGGAGGAGGACCTTTGTCCCAGAGCTTCCATGTTTGTATGATGTCTTTTAGGGCAGTGTCCGAGTGTCTGTCTGTACACGCAGTACGGTATTCCTCAGTCTGAACACGTGTCTTACAAAAAACAGAAACCCCACCTCCGCAGGGTGATCCAGGGCTGCTCTCCCGCTGGGTTCACTGCCTCTGTCACCTGAGTGCTGCAGCCCAGGCTGACAACAAGGCTGGGTGAAGAGCAGAAGCAAGCAGGCAGAGCTGGGGAGACACCATGACGGGGGGAAGGACCCCAAGATCTGTGGGTCTCTGGCTCCAGCACACCCCGGTTCGCTCCCGCAGCCCCCAAAGCAGCAGGCTCAGCCTCACCAGCGTCTGCCGGGGTAGCGGCTGTAGCTCCAGGGCCATTTCCAATGTGAGTGTCAAACGGGCCTTGCACAAACTGAGCCACATGTCCCCACTGAGCCCTGTTACTCCAGGTACAGCCTTCCTGATTGTCTCACCAGGAAGAATGACCTTTTAGGGCTTCTAATAAGGATGTGACCAGAGGTGGAGTCCTGAGGGAGACCCTCTGCTCTGCCTTCACCAGCTCCCCCCCAACCCCCGCCCAGGTAGCCATTTCTGAGTGAGGACACGGGCGCAAGGTTCCCCATTCATTCACGGACTTGGGAGAAGCAGCGGGTATTTTTCTACTATCTCAGGCCCTGTCCCTGCAGATTCTAGGGAACAAAGTGCAGTCTGATACAGATCCCCAAAAATGATGTCTCCAAGATCTGCCCCAAGAGCATCCGTATCAAGAATCAAGCACCGGGTGGCCAAGCGGGGGAACGCTGTTCTAGCCTTCCCCTCTGACCCGCGGCGGCACATCCTGGATGCATGGGTACTGCGAGCTTATGAGGGGGAGCAGAGCAGGCCCCACCACAACCTGATCGTGCAGCAAAGTGCTTGAACCAACCTCCAAGCGACCCATCCCTAGAGTAACTCCCACCCTGCTGCCTGAGGCTCACCCTACTTGTCTAGCCGGAAACCTCCTTAACAACCTCTCTCCCCGCCAACTTGCAGATCTCGTCCACTTTGACATCCCTTCGATCCACATAGAGCTGGGGTCCACGCTCCGCCTGAGTCCCCGGGAGCGTGCGCAGCGACACTCGGTGACTGACAAGAGGGACGAGGAGGAGGAGTCTGAGAGCACCGCCCTCTGACACGCGCCCGCCCACCCCACACCCTGTACATACACACGTGGGCCCCAGACTCGCCGCCAGGAGCAGCGTCCCCGAGCTTGCCGAGCGTTCTCCGTTGGCTCTTCCCTGTCACTGCCAACGTGAGGTTGGGGTTTGGCAGAAAATTGTGATCTCTGGTCTGTGTGGCAATGCTGGTGGTGCAGATTGTGTTTTTTTCCTTTCGGGTGGCGACTTCGGCCTTTGTTTTGACCTTTGCCTTTTGACTTTGTGCCTATTTTGATCTACATTCAGCCTCCGTGCCCAGCAACGCCCACCTCTCCACCAAGGGTTTGTCAGAAACGTCATTTGCAGGGTGGGGTGGTGCGGAAGAGGGTCGAGTTGACTGGTTAGACCCGTGGGCTGCTGCTTTCCTCGGACAGCTAATGTCAGGTCCTGCAACGTCTGCGTAATGGCTACAGAAAGGGAGCAGGACAGCAGGGACCTCACACTTACAACTGTGCCAGGTCCGGGCTTCTGGCCGTCCTGGGGCTTTGCAGCTCCCTGGCGGAGGGCTCACCACCGTGGAACCTTTCAGACAGCCCCTAACCAGTGTGCTCCAAAGCAAATGGCTTAAAACAAAGTTTGCTTCATTTCCTAAGTTTTCTTTTTCCCCACCATGTGGCTGAAAGCTGCCATTACTCCCTGTCACTTCATACTTTCGACTGTAAAACACGATCTTGACTGTATCTTGAAGGTAGTCCCCTTCCCCCCAAAACATTAGCTGAGAGTAATTCTACCCCTCCAGGCACCTAGAGGCACTAGTATGTGAGGTCCTGGAGCCCACCTCTGCTTTCTGGAGGTTACAACTGAATAGCAATAACTGTTACCCAAAGCATGTAGAGGAAAGAAAGTGAAACCAGCCACGGAGACACCGCTGCGTGTGGCCTGCTTTGCTCACCGGCCTCTGCCGCTCATCCCTTCTCATGAGTCCCAGCTGGTCCCAGGACGAGGGCCAGGACGGCACCGGGGAGCCTCTCCACACTTGGGGATTAAGGCAGTGAGAAAAGATTTGGGCTATGCATGCAAAGTCAAAGTTTAAAATTTTATCCTTTTAAAATAGATATAATATACCTATATATGATATAATATTTGTATATATGAAATCTCTCTATATTTGTTTAATTTGAGCCAGTCAATCTAAACCAATGTACAGGTGTACAATGAAAAATTTAAATGCTTAGTTATTTTTCCCAACACACTGTAAAGCCACCCTTCTCTGAGAGTGAGTGGGATTTGCAGACTTTTGACGTTACGGCTTTGCTCACTTCCTGGCGAGGGCAGTTCAATCCTCAATTTGTAATGGAGTCGGGGGGTGAGAGCTATCTTTAAATACATGTACAAATTGTTGTCAAAAGTAATGTTATTAAAATAGATTTATTATCCCTGAGCTTGGCGTATGTTCTTGTTTTAATAATAAACCCATGGGGACACAGCTATCAATCTCACACGCTGCAGCAGGAGGGCGCCCGAGGGTCACCGCTAGGGAAGGCAAGTCCTTGGTCTGTCTGCTGCTCTTGTCACGTTCTCCTGGATAGGGAGAATACGCAAATAAATACTAGGTTCAACTTTGAGAATTTTCTCTTGATTTTTCAAGCACTAACTTGTGTTTGTAAATCCCACAGGAGAGCAAGGGAACCAGCCCGATGTGACATTTCTCAAAACTTTCAACAGCAAAGAATAATCCTTATTCTCATTTAGGGCAAGAGAGGGTGAATCTGTCGTCTCCACTTTTACCCAGAACAGGAAGACTTGTGTTTCCCTGACCCCGCTGCACTGGCCCGCCCGGGCTCCCACTACCGCTGTGTGCAACCGCGACACTGCTGCTCGGGCCACCACAGCCTGACTTCTGTCAGAAACCTCAGCCAACAAGCGCGGCTCCCTGAGGGCAGGCTCCAGAGGTCCTTGCTGCAGTCAGAGCCAACTTCCAGGGCACACTGGGTCCCCGGGAGCGTGACGCTGTGGCACGGAGAGCCCTCCAAGGCAGCACTAGGATGGAGCGAGAGAACTCAGGGTTCCAAACCCAATCTTTATTGTGGCTGTTTTTTTGGAACCACTCCTTGAGTCTTGGACACTCAGACCCACAGCTCCCTGTCATTTGGCTTCTCTCTGGCGTGCAGAGGGACTCGCTGCTGGAGTAGGTGAGGGGTGCTGCCTTCTGAAGTTTCCATACGACTTCTTTAAAAACCAACTTGCAATGGAATTAGCCACACTTGGCCTTCTTCTGTTCAGCAGCCTCCTGTCACACAGCTGTGACAGGTACCAGTCACAGGAGGCACCTACAGACTAGGGCTCATCCAGGGGCCAGGCCGCCGCTCAACTCCACACCTGCGCCGAGCTACCTCCTGGTGGATCGTGCTCTCCAGCCCCCGCCAGGCGAGGAAAGCAGATGGGGGTGCCGGGCACAGGGCAGAAGATACAGCCTTCAGAGCTCGGGGTCACTCCTGGATGTTCACTGGGCTCGGACCTGCTTGCTCTGTGGGCTCCGCGGTTCCTCCGTGTGGGCCCGTTTCTGCGGGGGCTCGCTGTCCTCGGGGCCGCCTGCCAGCTCCCGGGAGAGGAGGGCCGCCCGCACCAGCCGCAGCTCCCGCTTCTCCCTGCGCTCCTCCATCTCCTCGATGTCGCCGGCAAACAGGGCTTTCAGCGGGGGGATCAGCTTGGGCACTGTGGGAAAGTCGCCAAAGCCGACCTAGAATGCAAGAGGGAGGACAAGGACACGCCTCAGAGGGGCAAGGGAGGGGGCTGGCAGCACCAAGTCCCTTACAGACCCTCAAGCCAACTGATCATGGCCTGGAAAAGACAGGCCTCGGAAGGAGGGAGGGCCACCTAAAGAAAGGGGCAGAGACTCCCCACGCCTGGCTGAGGGTGGCGAGAGCAAACGGGCCTTAGGAACGGGAAGGGAAGGCAGTCCGAACTCTGAAAATAAAGCTGCTGAGAAACAAGGCCTGGCTCCGCCCCGCCCCTTCATTCTAGAGGCCGGAGGGGCAGGCTCGGCTTGCCCATGCGTGAGGCAAGTACCTGTTTCAGATCTGTGTTCAGGCTCAAATAGCGTGACTGCGAATGGTCCAAGCCTAAACAGACTCTCAAAAGTTTCCAGTGAAGCTGAGGCTGACGTCCAGATGGCCCCTGCAGTGGGTCTCGCCATCAAACCCAGTGCTGGCTATGACTGCCCAGTGGTGGATACATATCCTCTCCCCTGAGTGGGCCCCGAGCCAGCAAGGAAACTCCAAGCCACCATCCCATACAGTGTGTAAAGTCCCCTCTCTCTGCCCCATCCCCACCTCCACTGCCCACGTGACACACACCTTCATGTGGTCAAAAGCAATTCCAACTTTCTCGTTGAACTCAGGGCTAAAGAGCGGGATCTTGGCGTATCGCTGGCTGAAGTGGTTCAGCATGATGAACTCCGCGTTCATGCGCATGCCCACGCCGATGGCTTGGGAGGTAGTGCTGCAAAGGACAGACACAGCACAGGGAAGCTGAACCACAGCACAGGACTCGGAGCCGCACACACTCCGGCCCTCAACTGCTCGGGGCGCCCGGGGAGGCTGGTGGGCTTCCTGAACTGGCACCTTTCAGCCAACACAATCTCTCCTTAGGGCCAGATCCTTCACTCACTCCCCTGAGCGAAGCCCACCCTCTGTGTTGGCTGCCAAACCTGTTGGGGAGGGCACCTGAGGGAAAGCAGGGGGCCCACTTGGGGTAAAGTGCTCTTCCATTGAAGTAACAGCCCAAGGTCCAGTCGCTAGCCCCCACCTTCCCCTGGTCATTCCCTCGTGGCTTATGCTTTATTCCAGCCTGTTTCTAATTCTTTCAAAAAACCGTGCCTGGCTGGGCATGGTGGCTCACGCCATTAATCCTAGCACTCTGGGAGGCCGAGGCGGGAGGATCCCTTGAGGTCAGGAGTTCGAGACCAGCCTCAGCAAGAGCAAGACCCCGTCTCTACTTAAAAATAGAAAAAGCCCGTTGTGGTGGTGGCGCCTGTAGTCCCAGCTACTGGGGAGGCTGAGGCAGGAGGATCACTTGAGCCCGGGAGTCTGAGGATGCCATGAGCTAAGCTGACACCATGGCACTCTACTCTAGCCCAGGCAATGGAGCAAGATTCTGTCTCAAAAAAAAAAAAGAAAAACCGTGCCTCACTCTACAACCCTGTCTAGAGAACTGTGCAAAATAAAGGCGGAGGGCCCAGGGGAACACTACCGAGAGCTTTAAGAAGCCCCCAGCCCTTGGTGGGCAGCCCTATGCGAGTGGAGAGCACAGTCCTTCCCAAGGGGGCAAACGCAGGCTGCTTGGCGTTTCACTTGAGGGAGGGAGAGGGAGTGGGGACAAGACAGAGCGGCCTTTGCTACCTGTGTGTCTTTTCCACTGCTTCCTCTTCTAAACCATCTTCCAGGGTGGCTTCATGTATCAGGAGGGTGGCGTCTTTCCCTGGCAAAGAAGCACAGGCATCAAGGCAGAGGCCCCTGCAAGAGCAGCACGTAGACCCGTGCCACACAGCTGTTCCTGGTCCCCACACTCGGCTCCCCTGGCCCTGTGACTTGTCTGCCTGTTAGGACAACAGCCGGAGACCATCAGGGTGGGGCACCGAGGCTGCTGCCTCTGCTGACGTTTTCCTACGAGCTCCTCTATGTTCACCTCCAGCTGCATGAACCGTGGAGCAACCTCAGTGAGGCTAATTCTTCTTCTACTCACCCATCCGGACCAGAGCCTCGCAGGGCATGGTGTCCCCCGAGTACACCACTTTCCAGCCGGACGTGTGCACCAGCGCACAGCCAAAGGCATGCTTGCAGTGCCGCACCAGGCAGGTCTGAAACTGAGAGGGCAGGGCTGGAGGGCGCTGTGGCTCTGCCCGCCACCTGGCCCCTCCGTGCCTGAGGCTGGGCCCTTACCTCTTCCAAATCACACTTTTCCAGCAGCAAACTGATCAGTCTTTCAACTGTGGGATCAGAGACCTCAGCCCCTTTCTGAAGGAATTTGGCAGGAATCATACTAGGAAAAGACAAAACATTTAAAATCATAATAAACATTAAAAAAACCCACCACATTCCCGCAGATCACATAAGGCAGGGATAAAAAAACTACAGAACATTGAACACCTGGAGTCAAAGTTCAAGCCTTTGACTAAAGAGCCCCAAAATCATTCTTATGAAGAAACATGATTTAAACCACAGTCACTAAGAAGGGAAACAGTGTCAAACAAAAAGAGCCAAAGCACATCCCCCAGGCCACTGTGGGAAACCTAACAGGTGAATGCTGCCCCTGGCCCGGGCAACACAGGCCACAGATGACTCCGGGCGGATGGGACTCCTTCCCCTTGAAATGAAGACAGGGCCAACTCCCAGCCGGCCACCCGTCTGGTGTGACCTCTGTGCCAGCCTCTGTTCTGGTGCTTGGCCTTGGAATCATCTCATGGAGAAATGACGGCCAAAGTCTAGAGAGCAGCTCAGAACTGGAACGGGGGCTGAGAAGAAATGCTTCAAAGGAACAAACATTAAGTGGGAACCATTGAATGGTTTCTGCCCCCAAGTCAAAGCCTCCTGCCCTGCTTCTGCCCCCGGGACAAGCCAAGGAGGCTGCCGGGGCTAGCACTAACTGCCCAGCGTCAACCTGGAGCTCTGGAAGGAGGCGGCAGTGGCAAGCGATAGCCTGGGTGGTGGGGCCGCCCCGGACGCGCACCTGAACTGATGCAGGAGCGCCTGGCACTGGTTGTGGTACTGCTGCAGCCAGGCCCTGAGCTGCGTGGGCGCGACCACCAGCAAAGGGTGAAGTGGCTTTCCCAGGGACACCTGCAACAACAAAATCCAGGTCAACAGCAGAACACCTCAATAAGAACAGTCTGGAGTGGCAAGAGGCGTGGCTGATTATGTGTAAACCACCAAAACTCAAACCGTCAATATGGCACAAGTTCTGCTCTTACCAAAGCTCGTTCTCTCTGCAGCAAGATATTTAACAAGCCCTGTGAGGAAACAGGAGACGTGGATTAGCCTGGTCCCAACTCAGTTTCTGCCCCTTGTCAGGGTTCTGCAGTCCTCTGTCAGTCACCAGCCCTCCAACACGGACGGCCGCAGCGGGGGCACCGCACATCTGACCCGTGACCTGAGATGTCACAGGCAGTGGGCCGTGCGGCCTGTGCTGGAAAGAGAGGGCCATGCCTGGGACCCAGCGCCCCAGGAGACCAGGGTGAGGGCCTCACCGCCAAGCCTCCCGTGGCCAGCCTTCCTCTGAGCAGGCTGCGTGGGGAGGCACGATTCGAGCAAGGCTGGGTGAACCCCAAACCCGTCCTGCCGCAGGAAACAAGGCAAACGGGAAGACGAGACATTCTTACTGGGCAGAAGGACGGTGTTGGGTTTTGTAGAAGACCATCTCCTGGCAAGAGATGACTAACAAACT